TGAACAGATTTTTTTTCAGTTTTAGTATTGATCAGGTAAAACTTCATCAGTCATTAGACACGCTAACGCTACAGATGCTCCCAACTTTGTACACTGATGCTGGGTGATGTTATTTTCGTTGTCTGGGCAACCACTATTTTTTATGTCATGGGGCAACCAATCCAGCTAATCATGTAGCGTAACGTCACTGGAATGAAGCAGGACCCGAGCAGATCTGGTACCTACACCGGGCGAGAGGCTGCCGTTTAATGGGATTCCTAGTGACAGCACACCGCCGGTGTACAGGGGTCTGAGTGCGTCTGGTGGCGAAATAATATTTGAAGGCAGGATGGTAATCTGGATGAACTGACTGCACTGATGAAGTTTTCAGGCGGACTTTCTCACTTAAAAACATTAAAACTACTGTTTACCCACTGATCACAGCAAATATAGCTGCCATTGTGACAGGCAAAGAAAGGATAGGTCATACGTCAGAACTAAACTTGTACAAGCATTAAAAATTAAGTAGCATGTGCATTTTTGCTGCTTCTGCTGCATTCAGTCTGAACGTTGCCTTTACCTTTTTCTCACACTATGAACCATGCAGCTTATACAAACATTTTTCTGTGTTTTCTTTCTAACGGTGAAGGGGCGGAATTTAAAGTTGGAATTCAATGAAGAAGGGGGTAATTTTTATTTAGCACATGCTACAGTAGCAGCAGGCACGATGGAGAGCAAATGCTCCGAATTTACATAGTTGGACATTTATTTGTCGCATAAAAGCAAGGGACTCGGCTCAACTACCGCAGAGCTGAAATAAAGAGCTGACAAAGCCACATATTTCTTTTGACGAGCCAATAAGCTAACACGATCTAGCATTCTTCTTCGTCCCTACTATAGGGGAAATATACAGAGCTCCCCCTACAGGCCTGGTGGGAACAGTTCAGCAGGTATGAGCGGCTTATAGCCTAGTGTGGCTTATATATGTATGTTTCCAGTAAAAAAATAAATAAAATTAATGAGTGCAGCTTATGAAATACAGTACAGTGACTTTGTCACTACCCAATCCGTACCGGAAGCACGAACCGTCCTGCGCATTGCGAACAGATACACATCCGGATGTCCATAAATAATGTAATTATGGTACTAGAATTACTTATTTCTGTCCTTTTCTCACTAAAGAATGCTAATACACATCTTTCAAAAATGTTTTATGACTTTTGTGAGAGAATTTTGATGCTTTTTACATTTTCTTTGTTAAACTTCTTTTCTGACGTCATTTTGGGACATGCTCAGCGCAGTCTGGCAATATGATTGAACCATGTTTATGCGCATTTTAGTTGTTTCTTTCTTCATATTACGTACCATATACCATAATGTTAACACCAAAAGAATACATAAAACCAAAAAAGACTAGACTTGTGTTAAAATCCAAAGCCGAAAAAGCTAGCCACTGGAAGTAGCGTAGGATCCCATTTCCAGTGCAGCTCGGTCAGAGACGATTGATAAAACAGAAATGATTTTAAGGCATTTATTTTCTCAGGAAATTCATTATTAATCTTTAAGACATTATAGTTTAGTGCGCTTACTATTTTTGATGGCGCAGGACGGATCAATGAAATTCAGGTTATTCTTTAGTTTAAAGCTAAGAGTTATCTCCATAACATCCATTAAACGACATTGTGACATATTTCATGTAATTTAATGGTTCATCTTTTTTCATCTTAGCTTTTTTTTTCACCTTTTCATC